AAAAGTTTAAGTATTGCAAACGACGGCACAGATGAGAGTGAGGGGAATAAATGCCTGTGATTGGTTAATTTCTTACGACTTAAGGATTACTTAAGCAAGGTTGTAGACCAACACAATGTCGCCTAAGCGCATATTGTTACGGACACCTCCGTAATAATATGGTGGTATTGAGTGCATCCTAATCTAGACACTAAAAACATCGTAACAAAACCATACATGTTGAAATTAGTGAAAAATAGTGAAGTATATCCACGTGTGTTTCTAGTAAATATTTATACATTAAAAGAGTGTTTGAACTAACGTTTGAACTAACGTTCTCACTAAGGGGTGTCGAACTGGCACTGTCTGTTAAATTTTTTAGCACTCGAAATTTGTTTCAATACGTTTCCTGAGCCAGAACGCTGTAACTACAATATGTCGTTCTTACGCATGTTCAGCTGCTAATTCTACGTATTGCCGATTGATATCAGCACTTTGTTCACGAGATATCACGAGCGGCGATATTACGTGCCTTTACCCTGTAAAGGAGAAACCGTTTTGAAAAGAGATGACGCAGATAGAGCTGTGTAAAGGTACGCGTACTGCTTTTGGATTGCTTTGCTCCGTCACGAGACCACCGAGCGATGTTCTCGATCGAGGCGCGTCCCCAAATTCGGGTCCGGGAAATATGGTGGTTGTACGTCACCCGGACGGACAGCTGCTTTCGATCGGTGGCAAGCGTCTTATCGAACCGTTTCGTGCGGCGATACGTCGTTAAGTGCGGCCGAGAAGAGAAGGAGCTGGGCCGGCGACGGAGACAAGGCGCGGGATCTCTCAAAGGCGCGTTTATCGGACGATTTACAGCTTTCAGCAAACCCCGTGCGACGACAACGGCCGCTCCATAATTTGTTTATCCGTATTGTCGCTCATTAGCAGCTGCACCCCGGTCGTGTACGACGGAAGAGAAGGTCGCGTCGTGGCGCGAGAAATCGACGTCGCGCCGCTTCTGTGACACATGAGACAACCGGATGAATCTTAACCCTGCGTGTGATTTCAGAGTGATGATAACTTACGTCCGGTTTTTTTTCCCCCCGACTCTGTGATCGTCAAATGACATAACGCCACGAGCAATCGCGGGCATAGCGTTTCGGAGAGCCGCGTCCAGATTCCGTGAGAGTGTCGCATTTTTTTCCCGACTTTTTATGTGTCTTCGCGGCAATTAATTTTGTAGATATGAATATATATTAGAGACGATACGGCTGTTTATACACGTCTCGGGATCGCTTTTTAATTCGATCGAAAACACAGACCACTCGTGTCGTTGATTAATTTGATGCGAATTAATTAAATGTCGCGTGTGACGCTCGCGTTAAACATTTGACAAGTTTGCGCGGCGTCTACATTTTTGTTTTAAAATTGTTCTCGAGTTGGTGGTACGCAGATGCCTCCAGGCTGTAGCTAGCTCGCCTGGTGATTTCACACGGGACGACAATTCCGATTGCGATTTTGTTCCCTGTTATCAATTAAGTGCCGTTTGTAAAGACGCAGCGCGTGATGGAACGAAACGACATTTTTCGCGCGGCGAAGATAAAATATCGTAGCGTTGTGCAATTTGAGCGATCGCGCGATCGTCGAATAGAGAGACATCCTGTAGCATTTACTTAGCGATGCAGCGCCGACAGCGCTCACGCTCGTCGCAGGGCTCTCTCGCGCGCGTCTCCTCCCGCGGGATATTTTGGCTCACATAGCGCGGATAATCCGGCTTAATGTCCTCCTTGACGTGAATGAGAACGGCGTCTCGTTTATCGCGACCGAATGCGCCGCCGAGCCGAGATCCTGTCTTGCCCGCGCCGAAATTCGACGGGGAACGTCTCAACGGACAGACAGTAGGCAGATGCTACCAGAAATCCCCATGATACCTTTGACGTCGCGAGACGAAACGACCGGCCCTTCCTGGTAACCGCCCTCGATCGATATTCAGCAGATCTTATTCGCGACGTTTTTTTAAAATCGCTGATTAATTTAGTCTCGTCGCGCTAAATCTTGAGGAGGAACTTGCGCAAAATAGTTTTATCATTCAAAGGATTCTATAGTTAATATTTATTTTTTATCTGCTTACTTGTTGAGAAAGCGATTTGTTAAGAGCCGACCGGAACGGTACGTTTTCGTCCCCGAGGCGAGACGAAGAATCGCGAGGGTTACAAATATTCTTTGTTTGCTGCCGTTAACGGCTGTTTATTGCCGGGTACAAAGCCCAGACGTCTAGCCTCGTATACCGTCGCCTCTAATTACATCATAATGTCTTTGCCCGCTAATCTATTTTCTTAAACTTGGCGGGTTATAGCGCCTAATTATGGTAATGAAATTTTTCGCAGTTGGAAACTCTTTACGTTGAAGTGTGCTCATAAGTTTGTGGGTATAATAGCGCTTCTTAAATATCTTTATAAAATTCTGCAAGTGCGATGGAACTTGGGGAAGTGTGTTACAAAGGAGCTATAATAATAGTATATGAACATTCTCATACATATAAATCTTTTATAACGATATTACATTACGACAGCAAATGTATTATATTATGCGCCACTCTGGGGAAAAAAAGACAGCAGACCATTTTGGGGCCCACAGCAATCGAATTATTTGGATTGTTCGTAACTCTAATCTTTTACGAATTTTACCCCGCGTAACTACAAATCGCAATTAGCTATTCTGTATCCAAGATTTTCAAGTAATGCTAATCAATTCTCTTAATTAGTTCTGTCCGAGGGGGAAATCGCTGACCAAAATCTTGCACACCAATGCCCAGTGGGTATTACATTATCTTATTATCTTATTTTATCTGATTCATCTTGTTTTATCTCGTTTTATCTCTATAATGCCCCAGTAAGACCTAATGCCCAAGAAATGCCTAGTAATGCCCAGTAATGCCGCAAATATGTAAACCACAATGCCCTCAGCCTAATCTTCACTTAAGAGGCACTAATCGAAATGTTAAGTTGCTTAAGGGGATGCTGGAGTGATTCTGCACTTTCGCACCTTTTGCACTTAAAACTGTCTGTTTCGTGGAAAGATTTGTGTAATACACAAATTAAATGGCACGC